TTTCGGTTTTAATTTAGTCTTGATAGGTGGTTGTGGGTCAGTCCAGAACTAGGAGAGATTGTTTTAAAGCCAATGGTCACCCTTTCAGGACAGAGGTTTGTGCATCTTTGGAGTTCTGTGCCTCAGAAGGAGGGGAAAGCGTCATCATTTGTAAGACAGATGAAGGGAATTGAAAGGTTATTGGGAATAGATGGAATATTGAGTTTGAAACATTGAGATCAGCCATGAAGTTATTAAATAGCAGAGTAGGTACAAGGGGTCAAATGGTCTAAATTCTGCTCCTAGTTTGAATATTTGTAGATCGTCTGTGTTTTGGTGATACTCATTGAGAGATTAAATATTTGTCAGGTCACTGAGGAAAATTCCACTGCCTGTCCACAAAATAGTACCTTATACAATCATCAAGGCATCCTGAACAGTGCCTCAGTTTAACATCCCCTTTGAGGGGAGGCAGTGCTGAGGGTGCAGTGCTGTGTCAGTACTGCAGTATCAGTCCGGATTAAGGCTCAAGACTCTGGAGTGGGACTTGGAGGTGGGAGTGTTACCCACAGAAACAACCAGCATCTTTTTTCACTGGATAAAGGTAATGCCCGTTGTCTTAAAGAATACAGTGTGCCAGTGTTGCTTCTTCCTATCCTCATCCCAGTGCCAGGTCTGTGATTAACCCTTTCCACACCCAAAACCATCTACTTCAGAAGTCCTCAGACAAGGATCATGAGTAGCAACCTCCGCTTCATGGGATGTTGGGCTTTGTGGCGCTGGCACTAACAGCCCAACATAGACCAAGGATCTCTGCTGCCAGCGACATAAGCACTGATGTTGTGGTGAGTCCTAATCACTGCAACTGGATACTTTGCTGCCATTTGCTAATATTTTATTAAAACAGGTCCTGAACAGAATGGGAGACCTTTTTCATTAGTTCTCAGGATATGGCCACCACTGGTTAGACTAGCACTTACTATCCTCCTGGAGAAGGAATGGTGATGAACTGCTGTCTTAAACTGCTGCATTTGGTATGGTGTATATAGACCCACAATGCTGCTAGGGAGGTAGGTTCAGGATTTTGACCCAGCGACTCTGAAGGGACAACTATATATTTCCAGTTTAGGAGGGTGTATGACTTACAGGGGGTGGTGATCGCGTGTATCTGCTGCCCTTCGCCTTCTAGGTGGTAGTGGTCGTGGGTTTGTAAAGTGCTGTTGGAGTAGTTTCTGTGACTTAATGCAGTGCATCTTGTACCAGAACACACTGCTGCTATTGAGCATTAGTGGTGGAGGGAGTGGATGTTGGAAGGTAGTGGATAGTCCTGAGCAACTATCCCCCTGGTCTGAGTCAGCACATTGAGAAAGGACTGGCAATGAGGGTGGAGGTTGTGGGCAGAGAACATGGTGTCTTGTTTTTCTCACAGGGCAGCTCGTACACGGGGAGTTTCCCAATCGAGTGAGGAAGGGGTGGTGAGAACTTTGCTTCTCGTTTTGTCAAATCTGCTGTATTGAGCACTGTCACTGTGGCAGCTGTGGCAAAGAGCTGGGTCAGGTGACAGGATGAGTGAGTGGCGGGGCTGCAGATATTTTAGGAAACTGCTTGTTTGTGTTTTTTCTGCTTCAAACAGTTATACCTGAGTTGCAGGCCACTTACCACATGTGCTTCTCACATCTTGCATAACAATTCTACCTGACCTAGTTTCTGTTTTTGAATTCCAATTCAAATATTTTCAAAAAGATTTTTCCATTTTAAGCCAAATTTTATTCATCAACATTGTACATATTTTATATTTGCAAAGCCTTTGTTTCTTCCTCCATTACCGTCTACCTCCCCTGTTGCATTTCTGTAGCAACTTTCACAATCTCAGGATTTCCCAAAGCAGTCAATAGAGTTCTGTTGTTGCATCAGAGTTGCTGATACAAAGAATGAAACGCAGAGATAAATTTATGTTCATGGACTAGGCACAGACTCCCATTGGCTATGGAGACAGAAATACGCTGTCAGAGGGTCAGCGCGGACGGAGTGCCACGTCAGAGGGTCAGCTTTGACAGAGTGTCACACTATCAGAGATTAGTGCTGAGGGTGCGCCACACTGTCGGAGGGTCAGTGCTTGAGGGAGTGCCGTGCTTTCGGTGGGTGGGGGGGGTCAGTGCTGAGAGAGCATTGCAATTTCGCACGTATACTTTTATTACAATCCCCATATCTTTTGATGTCATTACGGAAATCGAGAGTCTTGAGCACCCTCAGTGATTTATCAAACATATCTGTCTTCTCTCCCAATTCATTTCAGTGTGCACATGTTCTGGGTACAATCTTACCCAAGAGAGCTTGGAGGTCTCCCATTGGTGCTCTGTCCCACACCCTTTGTGCACCAATAAAATTCCCCACCTTACATTTGTACTTGGTAGACAGTTATCAGAGTTAAATCTAGCAAGTCTTGTGTAAATTATAAAACATTTGTGTTGAGATTAAGATTGAAATGTAACTCACTATCTAGGCTGTTGTGTTGGAGCAGGTTTGATTTCTCTCCTTTTGTGCAATGGATTTTAATGGGCAAATGACTTTTTAGAATTCATGTTTAGCTTACGAATTAGGGTTATTCATACTAGTGAATGGGTAAACAGATTTGTGAGGTTTTCTTTTTACGTTAACCTCATCGTTTGGGGATCACTGTGAAGGCCAGCCTTCATTTTGCATGCCTAATTGCACAGTATACAGCTATGTTGCTTGAGGCAGTATTTGAGAATTAACTACCCTGGTTTGGGACAGGAGTTACAAATAGACCCAGATTGGGTGAGAACGGCAGTTTTCCTTCACTGAAGTGATGTGGATGTGCTGGTTTTGTTTTTAATAACAGTCTGACAAAAGGAAAACATCAACTTTATTTAAGGAACATTTTACTGTCTTCATCTTGCCATTCAGCTGCGAGAGAGAGAGAAAGATTGTGTGGCATTGCATCATGTATACCATCTCATTAGCATATTATAGGTGTCACCTCTACAAGCCTTTCAATCTTCTCACTATATGACAGATACTGACTTTTATTTCCACATTAGAAATGTGCTACTTAAAGGCTATGGTGGACCAGGCTCATTTGAGGCACTCAAAGGAAAATCCGACAGTTTGAAAAGGTTATAGAGAGCTGATAGAACGGCTCAAGGTGGGATATTGTTTGTAGAGCCACCGTGGACACAATAGGTCAAATGGCTGCCCCCTGCACTGTAACAATTCTTTAATGTTCCTGATGTAATTCAGCTGACTTGGTGGGTTTTGAGCTTGAGTTTTCTACATTGTTAGTCCATTCCCTGCTTTACCTCTTCGGTTAGCAATGTTGCTAGGCTACCACTGTCAATTGCTTTGTCCTCCCTGAATGTAGGCATTAACTCATTCAATCTAAGTCGAATGGTGAACTTATCAGGAAGTTGGGTGAATGAACCTTCAGCAATGGACTGTGCGTTTGTGAGCTCTTATTTTTGTTTAGGAATAAACCCTCCAGCCACTGGCACTTACGTCCTACAACTTGGCTTCATAAGATATTGATTTAAGGCAGTTCTCCAAAAGTGTAGTGCTGAGGAGATGGAAAATGATTTCTCATATGGCAAATCGGTCCATAACCCATCATTTGCAGAAGTGGTGGTAACAGATTCAGTAATAAATTTCCAGTGGAGAATTAGATGAACTGTTACACGTTTATTGGTTTGCCCTTTCAAACCGTTGGCACAGGCATATGGGCTAAACGGCACATCTCTTCATGATTCTAGTTCATTATACTGCTGCAACTGAGAGGGAGGAACACCCTGACAATCAAGCCAAACCACTCTACCAGTTACGCCATTAATATAAATGTTTAAACTCGATCGCCAGAATAGCCATTTGTTTCCCTTCGGTACTGCCTTCCAGAATAAAAAGACTTCCACCATCAATCAACAAAATAATCCCTTTATCATTACACAAAGCTTATTTTAAAGCAATTGGCAAAACTGGTTGTTATCTATGTTCTAATTCATGATTAGAAGGTGTCCCCTTTTACTCCCAAACAAATAGTTGACACACATACACAGAATGACTCTGCAGTGATATCATTTAAAAAGGAACGGGAGAAAATATCCTTATTGACCAATGGCCTTCAAGATAAAGAATCAAAGTTGATGAATTCTCCCAGTCCACTGATCTTCTTGTTGACAAAATGAAATTGTTGACAGCCATGTACTGATGGAAGCTTCAATTTGATTGGAAATCAAATCCTTAGACTGTAGTGATGGTTCAGTTTTTCAGGATTTGCAAGGTAGCCAATACGCCGAGCTGTCAACTTTAACGGGTTCCCAAATTTTATTTCCCAATGAGAAATAGAGAGAAAAATCTTGCAGCCTCACTGCTCCTTGTTGCTGATTTACCTTTTTCTTTCTTCCTGAGGTGTTTGAAGCAGAAGTCAAATACAGCCAGGGTTGCTAGGCAGCAATCGTCACAGAGGCTTCATAGTGTGTTCCAAAGGCAGCTTTTCCAACGATGAAGGGCAATAAGCTCTATTTTTGTTCTGGAAAATGTTCAAACAGTTCATTATCTTCCAGTTTTTCCCCATGTAGTTTATATATTTATATTCCTATTAGTACAGAAACAGGCTGTTGGCCCATCTCTTTGGTATTAGTGTTTCTGCTCCACACAGGCCTCTTTTCAAGTCCTCTTCATCTCACCCCATCAGCTTATCATTCTGTTCCTTTCTCCCTTGTGTGTTTATCCAGGCTGCTCCGTAAATGTATCGACATTATTTACTTCGACCACTCCTGTGTGAGCGCGTTCTACATTATCTCCACTCCCTTGGGATGACATTTTTCCTGAATTCTCCATTGGATGTTCAGTGACTGACTGACATAATGGTCCCTAGCGCTAGTCTCATCCATAAATGGGAGTCATCTTCTGTACATCCATCCCATCAAATCCGTTCACAAATTCAGAAATGTTTACTGGTTCAAAAATAGAGTGTTGTTCTAACACTGTATTTTATTTCATTTTGTTAGGTTGACCATGCTGCAAATCGGACCCAGTTTGGGAACAAGATTCACAACTTTGGTGCCATTCAGGAGAAGGTTGCTCACATGGCAGTGCTGCAGTATGTGACGGAGGTAAGGGCAGGTTACAGGCTGTGCTTCAACTCAAGCAGCTTGTGTTCAGTCCTCCAGGAAACTCTCGGGTTTCTCTTTTCCTAATCTTACGCTGCCCAGTGATGGCAAGTTCCGTCCTGTAACTGGGCACAACAATCTTCATGAAATAGACCTGCGTTCATATAGCATCTTTCACCACCTGAGAATGTTTCAGACTGCTTCACAGCTCATTTCGAATGTAGTCACTGCTTTAGTGTAGGAAAGCTGCCAATTTGCACACGCCCAACTGCCATTAGCAGCAATGGGAGAATGACCCAGATCATCAGTTTTTAGAGATGTTCATTAAGGAATAACTATTGGCCCTGAGCAGAGCTCCCCTGCTCTTCCTTGGATATCAACCATGGTGTAAGGGACATCATATTTTTCCATTTTGGCCTGTAACCTGGAATGGAATCAGACACTCCGATATAGCTGAAATATCTTAGGAGTTTTGCATGTTAAAAAAAAAGTGAGATTGTATGGTAGTTTTGCACATATGCAACGCTGTGTTGCTTTTGGACAAGAGAAATTGTTACATTATGAAGACAGTTGCACCAAGGGCTTTTCCAGTAAAGAGGAACTGCCTGATGACAGCCTTTGGATTCATTGAACTATAGTTTGCAACAGACTTGAGAGCAGTGCAGCCAGAAACATCTAGAGCCAGCAAAGTACCTCTTTCTCCCCTCTCTGAGAGTGAGAAGACCAAAAAAAATTAGAGTTCTCATACAAGAAAGACCTAGATCTACCTGATGAACTATTGACTCGAAGAACAAACATGACTCTGCAGACAGTGTGTCATCGTTGCTAAAATCTGAGAAATCATCTTGTGGTCTGGATTTATGGTCTTTAGAATTTTGTTTTCCTTGTCTTAATTTTTTTATATGTGTCAAATCATCTCACTTTGTGTATCTTACTTGTGAATATCTGTGTATTTGGTGGTTTAAAGAGATTTGTTTAAGTCGTATAGATTTAGATTAGTAATTCTTTCTTTTCCCTGCCATTTGAGTGTTTGCGGTAAATAGTTATTTTCTGTTAATGGTGAGACCTGATTTGAATTGCTTTTGTCCTGAATAGCAGTCAGTGAAGCAGAGTGATCATGTGTTGATTTACATTGGCTACTTTACACATTTGTGATGGCTTGTGGCAGATTGGGACACAGTTATCAGTGCGCTCTTTCCAGTAGCAATAGGACCTGTACACTTGTGGGAAGCTAGGGAAGAAATTGCAGGGCCCCTAGCGGAGATATTTGTATCATCAACAGCCAATGGATGAGGCGCCAGAAGAATGGAGGGTGGCTAATGTTGTGCTACTATTTAAGAAAGGCTGCAAGAAAAGGCTAGGCCTAACATCAGTGGTGGGTAAGTTGTTGGAGGGGATCCTGAAAGTTAGGATCTACATGCATTTGGAAAGAGTCAACAGCTAAAAGTTGGTGTTCTCTTCATGCTGCTAGATTTGCAGGTGAGACAACCTATTTTACTGAATTTGCCTTTTTGCCAAGGGTGTGTTTATGGGATTTTACTATATTGGAACAGTTAATTAGTAGTAAATGTATCAATTATTTTGTTAAGCATTTCGATAGTTACAGTGAAGCCAGTTGTTTTCTTTTAACTGTCGTGTAAAAATAGTGTGTTTTGCTTAATGTTGATTTAGTTTGACCAATTGAATTGCGTTTGGAAAGCAACACCTTACACTTAACTTTAAAATAAGAACTGTTAGGGTCTAGGCTACCTTCTTAATATACTTTGAGGAGGTTTGGTCTGGGAGCTCATCCAGAATCAAAATGTTTAATTCCATGTTGGGTTTAGGATTATTGGATTCAAAGACGATGAGTTTTTTATTTCAGGTGTTGCATTCGGTTGGTTTAAACAGGGTGTGCCTTGTGTAATAATGGCTCTTTCAGTCTCAAGAGTTTCTTGGGGGCGGAAGAAGTGACTTGAGAGTTTGCCAGAAAGAGAGCAAAGCGAAGCTTTCAGAATTGGCAAACAAGATGCAGTTAGAGTTGCCTGTATCTGTGAGGAAAGGGGAAATATTTGCAGCATTAGCTATACATTTATAATTACTAGGAATTCAATCAGAATCATTGGAGATTGCTAAAATTCAATAGCAAATGAAGCAGCTTGAATTAGAAGCAATAGCAAGTGAAACAAAAAGGAAAGAATAGCCTTAGCAGAATAAAAAGAAAGAGAAAAAGAAATGAAACCGTTTGAATTACAATTAAAAGCTGGGGAAAAAGAAAAGGATGGCCTTAGCAGAAGAAAGGGAGAAAGCGAGAGTTTTTGAAATTCAGAGATTGGAACTGAAAACTCAAAGTCGACTTAGTTGGGAGATGGAGGTGAAAGGTATGGATCAGTGATGAGGACAGTGATGGAGAGCAATTCCATCATGGAAAAAGGCCTGGTGGGGATCTGTTTAAATATGTCCAAGCATAAGTTTGACAAGAAGGATGTGGTAGCTTTTTTCATTTCATTTGAAAAAGTGGCTAAACAAGTGAAATGGCTGATGACCAAGTGGGAATTGTTGATCCAAACAAAGTCAGTATATACAGCTAGTGAGGTATTTGTATCACTATCAGAGGAGGTATCTGGGGAAAATAATAAGGTGGGGAAAAAATACTATCTTAAGTGCATATGAACTAGTACCAGAAGCCTACAGACAACTTTTTAGGAATCTAAGGAGAGAACTTGGTCAAACATATGTTGAGTTTGGAAGTATCAAACAAAGTAATTTTGATAGGTAGATTAGGGCATTGAAAGTAGATCAAACATGTGATGCTTTTAGAGGGACGATTATTTTGGAGAAGTTCAAAAATTCACTTCCTGAACAAGTAAGAACTCGTGGAAGAGCAGAGAGTTAAAGCTGCAAGATTAGCAGCGTACATGGCAGATGATTGAGTTGGTTCATAAATCAAAGTTTTGGCTTCCAACGTCAATTTCAATCTGTGAGGGATAGAAACTGGAGAAAAGAGAAATCCTTGGGTGGTAAGGGAAAGGGAGATCTCATTGAAGATAGTAAAGATAGTTTACAACAGGGTAAAAAGGAAATCCAAGAGGGGGAAGAGAAGTTTAAAAAAAAAAAAAAATTTGTTTTCACTAAATAAAGTAGGCCACTTGAGGTTGCAGCATTGGTGGTTTAGGTAAAGCACTTGGAAGATGGATGTGGGAAAGCAGGATAAGCCAGTGAGTTTGTTGAAGTGGTATAGGAAATTACAGTGGGAGCTAAAAAGCTGCAAAAGAATGTGCAACCTGGTGAGGGGTTTACTTGAATGGGTAAGATTTACTCATCTATGCCAGGAGGAGTAGGTAAAGAAATTAAGATTATAAGGGATATGGAAGCAAGTCAGTCTTTGGTGAAAGATGAAGAGATGTGTAATTCAGAAGGAGTATTGCCAGAAATGGTGGTAAAATGTGGAATTCATGGTGAAAAGGAGCAGTGTTTTATTATATAACATGAGGTTGGAGAGTTTGGTGAAATGTGGTGGTAGGAGTAATAGAGAAATTCTTGGTTCCAGAAATGCAGTTTATCCTTGGTATAACAATATAGCTGGGGGATCACAGATAGGAATGATGCCTACTGTGGTTGAAAAGCCAGAGAAAAACCAGGCAACTGAGGTGTTACAGGAAATATATCCTGGGATTTTTCCTGACTGGTAACAAGGTTACAACGCCACAGGTTGAAGCAGGAGGAAAAATTGAGGAGTAAATATATGCAAGTTGAAGTTCAATTATCAGAAACTGTGTGTGCCCAAATGGACAAAATATACCTCTTAGAGCCATAGTATCATTAGGATGGGATCTTGATCCACTGGGCCAGTGGGTTGAAGAATAACAGATGGAGTTTAATTCAGATAAATGCAAGGTGTTGCATTTTGGTAAGACAAACTAGGGCAGGACTTACCCAGTTAATGGTAGGGCCCTGGGAATGTTGTCAAACAGAAAAGCCTAGGGGTGGAGGTACACAGTTACTTGAAAGTAGTATCATATGTAGACAGGTTGGTGAAGAAGGCATTTGGCATGCTTGCGTTATCATTCAGAGCATCGAGCACAGGAGTTGGGATATCATGTTAAGGCTGTCCAAGACATTGGGAAGGCCATATTTGTACTTTGGAATACAAGGCCATTGTACTGGAATGATGTTATTAAACTGGACAGGATACAAAAAAGATTTACAGGGATGAGACCGAGACTGGAAAACTTGAGTTATAACACGAGCCTGGATAGGCTGGGACTTTTTTCACTGGAGCATAGGAGGCTGAGGGGTGACCTTGTAGAGGTTCATAAAATCATGAGCGGCATGGATAGGGTGAAGAGCCAAGGTTTTTTCTCCAGGGTAGGGGAGTTCAAAACTCAAGGGCATAGGTTTAAGGTAAGAGGAGAAAGATTTAGAGGACCTGAGGGGCAACCTTTCCAGACAGGGTGGTGTGTGTATCGAATGAGCTGCCAGAGGATGTGGTAGAGGCTGGTACAGTTACAACATTTAAAAGGCGTTTGAACAGGTACATGGAGAGAAAAGGTTAGAGGGATATGGGCCGAACGCAGGCAAATGGGATCAGTTCATTTTGGGAAATGACCCTCTGACAGTGTGGAGCCTCCTCAGCGCTGTACTGGGCGTGATGACCTTATGTTTGTGCTCAAGTCTCTTGTGTTAAACTTGTCGCTGTGAGAGCGCTAGCCACCTGGCTAAAGCTGATTATGTGGAGCGGAAAAGGCAGTTGAAGCAGCAGCCGTAATTGTCATGCCTGGGGATGGTAATGGTGATTCTTTATTTTCTGTCTTTTCCAGTCGATGGCATACATGATCAGTGCAAACATGGATTCAGGAGCGACTGAGTTCCAGATAGAAGCTGCCATCAGCAAGATCTTTGCATCTGTGAGTATTGTTGTTGATCTGCTTTGATAGTGCACATCAAATCTGTTTGTCATCTCGTTTAAACAGGGTTGGTAATCCTGTTTCTGGTGAAGTAAAAGGTGCTTCATAATTGGCCAAAGTATATCACCCTGACTTATGCCATTCACTGCCAAGGAATCACTGTCCCTTTTTATTTAAGACGCCTGGACATGTGGTTAGCTGCTGAGCACAGCGAGTGATTCTGTTTTGATCTCAAGACTGACCTGTATTTGGGGTGAGAAAGAATTCTCATTTTTCCCCAAGATCGCAGCTCAGACTGAGGTTTTCTGATCTGTTATCCAACAGTAAGTGGCTTAACTGTTCACCAAACCCGTGCCTTAATCTGAATTACACTTGATTGCATTTCCAAAGGATGTTTCCAACTCTCAAAACGTCACAATACTCTTCACTGCCAATACAGCATTTTCCAAGTGGAGTCACGTTTGTAAATGCCAATTAGTGCGCAGGGAGCTCCCAAACACAGCATCAAGTTCGGGACCAGATAAGGTTTTCTAGTGATTTTGTTACTTGAGAGATAGATATTGCGCTGGGCACTCAAATGAGGGGTATGGGCCAAACGCAGGCAAATGGGACTGGTTTAGCTTGGGAAACTTGGTCAAAGGGCCTGTTTCCATGCTGTCTCAATCTATTACTATATACAAGAGCAAACATGGCCTCATGTTTAACAATCAGCTAAAAGAAGGAACCTCCAAGTGCTGCAATCCCTCAGCACCCCTTTGTCGCTGACCCTCCGACTGTGTGCGGCGCCCCTACTACTGGTCCTGAGAATAACAGCCAGGATTCTGTTTTCAATTTGTTGAGGTGGGACCTGACCCTACAAACTACTGACTCAGCGATAAGAGTGTTGGCTGCTGAGTCTTGTGTCTCTCCTCATGTGATGGTGACAGTTTTGCCCAAGTGTCTTGCAATTGGACTCCTGTTTGAGGAATGTAGAGGGAGGAAGGTGCACATTTTCATCCCTGCATTTCAGCTCAGGAATGTTGTTTTTATGGTTAATGTGTTGATGTGTGTTTGCAGACTGCCTCTTCTGATAGTTGGGAGACTTTTACCTGATTATGATTGGGGACAAGGGGAGAAGATGATGGAGTCCCAATTCTGAGAAATTAATTATTTAATTCGAATTACACTGACCTTGCTCATAATCTCTCTCTCCAGGAGGCTGCCTGGAATGTTACTGATGAATGTATCCAGCTCATGGGTGGAATGGGCTTCATGAAGGTCAGTATCAGGTTATGAATATAGTTATACCTATTAAACATCATCACCAGAGAAAAGTTCAATAGGAACTATGAAATGGGAGCAGAAATGGGCCATTTGGCTCCTTAAGCCTACTCTTCCGCTAAGTAAGATTTTAGCTGATCTTCTACCTCAATGCCCCTTTCCTAGGCTACCTCCGTATTACTTAATGCCCTCAGTCTAGAAAAAGCTATTGATGTCAATCTGAATATATTCAGTAACTGAACATCCACAGCTCACAAGGAGAGAGAATATCAAAGACACTACCTTTTGAAGTTTTTGAGATTTGTAGCTCGCGCCAGACTCATTAATCACCCAACTGTACATCAGAGACATACCAGAGATGACCACAGGACTACTCACACCTCTTGGTATCAGGGTAGCCATATTCCAACAACCACCCTGTGACAGCTATTGATGAATGTAAAGGATCCCATACCCACAACCAATAAAACTAACCTAACATACAAAATACCATGTAAGGACTGTGAGAAACATTACATAGGCCAAACTGGAAGAAAATTGACAATAAGGATACACGAACACCAACTAGCCACCAAGAGACATGATGAATTCTCACTGGTCTCAGTACACATGGACAAAGAAGGACAGGAATTCGACTGGGGCAACACATCCATAATAGCACAAGCCAAACAGAAACATGCCAGGGAATTCCTGGAGTCTGGCATTCCAACCAGAACTCCAATAAACACATTGAACTGGGCCCGATATACAAACCACTGAGAAACAGAACCGAAGTAATGCCAACTACCCCAGCAAACTGAGGCATATAAACAACAAGTGGGACAGAACACCAATGCTTCACCAGAGGCGCACTGACAATGTTACTTAGCAGGCTGACGAAACTTTTGCCAACAAACACACCGGCTCGGCGAGCAAGTCTACAACCTCACACTACCTTTAAGTGTAGACATCTCAGTCCGAAAGGGCTGGCTGACCCGTAATCCTGAGACTGTCCCCCCCGCTCATTCTGGACTGTGAACTGATTGTTCTGTTCTGAATCAGTTTTAAAGAAGGGTCACTGGACCTGAAATGCTGACTCTACTTTCTCTCCACAGATGAGGCCAGACCTCCTGAATTTTTCCAGCAATTTCTGTTTTTTGTTTAACTTCAGCAAGTTGTGTATGAGGACATCCAAGTCTCATTACACATTTCCCTCCCTCAGTTTGCAGCCATTCAAATAACAATCTCCCTTCTTGGTTTTGCTACTAACGTAGATAATCTCATATTTATCCACATTGTACTTTATCTGCCATGCATTTGCCCACTCACTCCGCTTGTCCAAATCACACTGAAGTATCTCTGTATCCTCCTCACAGGTCACCCTCCTACTCAGCTTTGTGTCATCTGCAAATGTGGAGATGTTATATTTACATCCCACATCCAAATCATTAACGTACGTTGTGAATAGTTGGGGTCCTAGCACCGATCCCAGTGGTACCCCGCTAGTCCCTGCCTGCCAATCGGAAAAGGCCTGTTTATTCCTGCCATCCCGCCTGGCCTTCTCAGTTATAGTGACTTCCGGTCACCTCACCCATATCAGGCATCCAAACACCAGCCACTGAATTTCAATGGCATTATCATCACTGAATCCCCAAACATCTTGGGTTTACCATCAACCAGAAGCATAATTGGACTAGCATATAAATACAGTGCTACAAGAGCAGGTTAGAGGCTAGGAATCCTCCACCAAATACCTCACCCCCTGACTCCCCAAAGCAGTCCACCTCTACAAAGCAAAAGTCTAGACTGTGATGGAATACGCTCCATTTGCAAGGATGAGTTTAGCTCCACCAGACTCAAAGCAAGACAGAGCAGTCTGCTTGATTGGCACCACATCCACAAACATTTACTCCCTCCCCCGCCAACCTCAGTAGAAGCAGTGTGTACCATCTACAAGATGCACTGCAGAAACCTACCAAGGTTCCTTAGACGACACCTTCAAACCCACAACCACTTCCATCCAGAAGGACAAGGGCAGTGGAAACATGGGAACACCACCCCCTGCAAGTTCACCTCCAAGTCACCCACCATGCTGACTTGGAAATATATTGCCGTTCCGTCAGTGTCACTTGGTCAGAATCCCTAAACTCTCTCCCTAATGGCGTGAGTCTCTCTATGTCTCAGGGACTGCAGCAATTCAAGAAGACAGTTCACCACCGCCTTCTCACAGACAACTGTGGATGGCCAAAAATTGCTACACCAGCCTGTGTTGCTCATACCCTATGAATGAAGTTTTAAAAGTTGAATTTAGAAATCAACCAGAAAGCACAACTAGGATCTATAAATATAAAAGAGGGCCATTCAGCCCCTTGTTCCAATATTGGCATTTTAGGCTGGGCTATCCAATTAACCCTGAAATCTTGTTAGGGGATGATGTTGTGCAGATTGCAGAGATGAGTTGAAATGACATGAGGCTTTTAAGGGATTTAAACACAAAAGTGAGAATTTTAAAATGTATATACTGATTAGTGCTGAGTCCTGACCCACTTTATCTGCTGTTAGGATGCTGGTATTGAGCGAGTGATGAGGGACCTTCGGATCTTCCGCATTTTTGAGGGAACAAATGATATTCTTCGGCTTTTTGTTGCACTCAATGGTATTCAGGTATGTGTATGATTTTCTTGTTTCTGATACTCCCACAGACTCTGGGCAAAGGCTTCACGAGCTTTACTCCATCTCCGCTACCCAATCTGACCTAGCTTCTATGTGTCATGGTGAATATCACTGCATTATTAGGGCAGCACTGCGAGAAAGCCTGATCCCATCCCCACTTGATTTCTACTGGTGTGGGATTATACACATATACGCAAACATGTAAATTAGGACCAGTATGAAGCCATTCGGTCCTCAAGCCTGCTCTGCCATTCAGTACAATCATGGTTGATCTGTTTGTGTTTTGAATTCTACATTCCTACCCTGTTGCAGTAATCCAGTTGGTTGTGGCAGTGATAACACATTGTGGAGCTGGAGGAACACAGTCAGCCAGGCAGCATCAGGGGAGCAGGAAAGTTGATGTTTTGGGTTGGGACCCTTCTTCAGGTTTTCTGCGTCAACTTTCCTGCTCCTCTGATGCTGCCTGGCCTGCTGTGTTCCTCCGGCTCCACACTGTTATCTCTGACTCCAGCATCGGCAGTTCTTACTATCTCTGGTTGTGGCAGTGGGTTGCTTGAGGTGGGTGGTAATTGTGTTGCTGTACCTGTATGCAGTAATACCTGCATCATTCAGCTGTATCTCTCCCTACCCCTCTGACTGTCTGTATTTTCAGTTTGGGGTTTATTTGTTGAACCTGCTATTTGGAGTTCGAGTTGTGAAGGTGGGATGCAATGTGTCAAATGGCCTCCTTCCAAACCATAACCATTCTGTGATTTTGTGATGTGTCAATCATTTTAAAAAAAACTGCATTGCCTTCTCTCACACAAACCTTTGACAGTGGCAGGATCAGTTAAGAAAAGCAGACAGACGCCTGGGCTTCATTAGAAGATGCAGACTGTACAGAAGAAAGGAAATTATATCAAGTCACTCTCAATCGCTGGCACAGCCCAACTGGATTATAGTGTTCAATTCTAAACACCACACTTCAGAAATAATGTTTAGGCTTTGCAAAGGGTGATAAGGGGATTCGCTAGAACCTTTCCAGGAAGAATGGATTTCAATTACCTGGAGAGACTGGAGAAGCTGGGATTGTTCTCCTTGAGGAGAGCAGGGAGAGATGTAATTGAGGCTACTCAAAATCATGAGGGGCTTTAATTGAGTAAATAAGGAAAAACATTTACCAGCAGCGGAGGGATGGAGAGAGTTGGTAAAATACTTTCAGGGAAATGAGAAGAAGGTTTTTTTGATGCAGTGAGTTGTTGTGATCTGGAATGCAGGAGAATGAAAGGGCAGTGGAAGCAGATTCAGGCAAAGGTATAAACCGTTGCAGGGGATAAATTACACAGCTAACAGCAGCGTGGGTTGGGGTGGTTTTGGGAGCCAGCAGGGGTGTGGAGCATTGATCTATCATGGAGCCAAACACCTGAGCCTATTTTGGTGGGAGAGAATGGTGGTGGGATGAGAAGAGAGTTTCTGAAGGTAGTGCCTTTACACTGGGTGCAAATCCATGGATGGTGAGAAATCACCCAAAGCCACTCGCCCTACTGAGTGAAACAAACTAATTTGCTGTCAGCACAACCAGAGATGGGCAGTCAGTGCAACCTTTCAAGCAACACCCACAATGAAAAAAACTCCACTAATGATTGAGTCACCTCAGCCTAAATATGTCCTACTTCCTCTCAATTCTACTTCCCAGGTATCTTCCCCCCACCCCCCCAGACTTTTTCTAGAGGGACTGAGTGGACACATTCAAACTAGATTGTTGAAAAGATGGACATCTTACTGAAGTTTGTCATCTTGTACACTTTGGGGCAAATGCACAAATGTGAAATTTTAATCAGCCATAACAATTTATACTGTCACAGCTTTGTTGGCTTTAAATTTGGCATTCGTGCATTTGTCCTGATGAGTGCAACATGGGGAGCTTAGGCAAGATGTCTGTCTTCTCAGGTACAATTGTCCAAAGTGTCTGTAGTTATAGATGCAGGAGGTTTTTCCGAGCAGACAGAAAGGAAGGCTGAATGGGTAGGTAGGACTGTGTGGAGGTTTGCAATTCTGGAGACGAGAAATCTAAGTCCGTGGGAGAGATTTCTGGAAGTAGAATGGGCTAGAAAGGCAGTGAGATTGTACATGCTTCGAGACTGCCCTGCCCTGTCAGTCCACACTCTAACCTCATGTACCTAAATGCTCCCAAATAAGTACTGACCTCCCTTGCTGGCCCATTTGTCGTCTTGGTCACCAATATCGCTTCTACCCTCACCCCAAGCGCTGGAACTTCTTAAATTCCTACCTCTTAGATCTATTTCGATGATGGCCTGAAATTTGACCACATTGTGTGCTTTCAAGCACTTGGTCAAAGTCTATTTCCTTTTCTGCCTGTTTGAAGCATTTTGACATCTGTTTGATATAAAAGCAGTGACTCTCTCAGACTGACTAGTATCCTTGCTTTTTATCGTGCAGACCACTGGGAATCACCTGAAGGGACTGCAGAGAGCACTGAAGAATCCTGTTGAAAATGCCAGCCTGTTAATGGGTGAAATCAGCAGGCGGGCACGAAGGTGACTGACTCCACACTGCGACCACTGGCCAGTTCAAGCTCATTGTCAAAGACAGATGTTTTTTTGATTTTCACCTACCTTACCCAGTACTATATTGGCATATTCTCAGCACTGACCCTCCAACAATGTAACATGCCCTCAGTATGTATCTCTGACAATGCAAAGCTCCCGCAATACTGACCCACCAACAGTACAGTGCTCTCTGAGCACTGACCTTCCAAGAGTACAGCACTCCTTCAGTACTGACCCTCCAAGAGTGTGGCACTCCTTTGGCATTGACTCTGAGACAGTGCAGCACTCCATATGTACTGACTATCTAACACTGCAACACTCCTCAGCACTGACCCCCACCCCCATCCCGACGGTGTGGGGCTCCCTCAATACTGACCCTCTGACAGTGCAGCTCTGTTTCAGTACTGACTCTCCAACATGCAACACTCCCTTAACACTGACACTCCAACAGTGCAGCTTTCATTCAGGATTACATTGGGAATGCCTTTCTGGATATATGCTGATGTCTTTGGAGTAGTGCCTGAATTCACAACTTTCTGACAAAAGGATGTGTTTGCCATTGTGGAACGGCTTGTTCTTCTAAAGATTACGTTTATCGATTAAATGCAGTAATTCAGCTTCTAACTGAACTCAGTAATGTGCCCAATGTCGTCTTTTTCTAAAGCAAAGTATTTTGGTGAGAATAAGATTGGTGAGATTCTCTGATAGCTCAGATTCTGCCCTCATCCAGAAACTGAGAGATATGGAGGGGTCTCTGTGTTGGTCCCCTACAGCCTTGAAAGAGTCTGTGTTAGAACTCTGTTCTGTGGTCAATTCACTGATCATAGCCTGTTAGTGATTGGGAACTGCACAAAGGCATTGTTGAATCGTTGGGAATACATCATATCTGTACACTCAGGAACCTGTCCTCTGCAGAATTCCTGGTTTCTTTTCCATGACAGTATTAATTGTTCCCTTTAAAATCTAGCATTCTGTCTCTGTCCTGATGACTGCAAAATGCAAAGCTCGGAAAGTATGTCTCTATCTTCACCGATCCCAAAAGCCCCATAAAACCAAGTGATAAATTATGAGGGTTTAGGAAGAAAATCAAAACCAGTCAGGACATCCATTTGGGATCACTACCCAGTGCCCCTATAGATCTCCTTTGGCTTTAATACCTCTTAAGGATCAAAGAGCTGATAATATCCTTTCCAGGATCTGGTGTAAGGCATGGTGGTTGAATGGTCTCAGACGTGGTTAAGTACTCCTGGAAAGGATGAGTGGAAGAAGGAAATGAATCTGTACTGCCCTGTCCAGTACACAAATGTGAGGACTGTGGGATGAAGTGTGAGCATGAGGCAGTCAGAACTCCTTATGCTCTTTCCTTCCTGACTCTGTCTCTTTGTTTCCCTCCTTGTTGCAGGAAGGTTGGACTTAGTACAGGCGTTAGCCTAAGTAACAATGTACATCCAGAACTGAAGCAGAGCGGGGAACTGGTGAGTACACCACTCTCAGAAACACTGTACACATACTGCTGCCTGAAAGCACCTCACTTGGCACATAGGAACAGGAAAAGTCTACTGAATCTGTTGAACCTGCTCTGCCACTCAGTATGATCGTAGTTAATCCTCTATCTCAATGCTACTTTTCCTGTACTACCTTCAAATCTGTTGGTGTCATTAGTCTTCAGAAACATATCAGTTTCTGCATTGAACATGCTCAATGCTTGAGTTTACACAGCTTCCGAGGTAGAGATTTACAAAAATGTACCCTCCTCTAAGTGAAGAAATTCCCCCTCATCCATATCCTGCATGGCTTGCCCTTATTTAGAAACCACTGTCCCTGGGTCAAGACTCACCACCTGTAGGAATCATACCATCAACATCCATCCTGTAAGAATTTTGTAGGTTTCAGTTAAACTCTAGAGAAATAAAGGCCCCTCATAAAATCTTCCAAGAAATTCCTCCACTGAACCTCCATTACACTCCCTTTAAGGCAGGTATATTCTCTCTGCGATAAGGAGACCAAAACTGAGTGGTTCAGTTCACTGGATGAATCTACTAAGCCAACATTGGTCTTCTGTTCTCAGGAATTGAACCACATGAGAGAAAACCAGAAGAGACTCTTATCAGGAATGGAAGGAAGAAAGTTTGAGAAGCACTGTTCACAATCTCATTAGGTCCCAGAATGGCTGTCAGCCAATACGGTAGTTCTGCAGTGCTGTCATTTCTGTAACACAGGAAATATGCCCCCTCAGCAATGTGATAAGTATCAGATCATTTGATTTTAGTGATAGTGATAAATGGATACAGATTGGTCCCAGGACATCACGGAGAACTCCATTATTCCTTGAGGTAGTGGCCATTAACATCAACCCAAGAGGAAAGGTGTGGCAACACAGTGTGGAGCTGGATGAACACAGGTCAGGCAGCATCAGAGGAGTAGGAAAGGTGACGTTTCGGGTTGGGACCCTTCTTCAGAACTGGAGAGGGGGAAGGGAGTTTGGAAATAAATAGAGGGAGGAGGGGTGGGGCCAGAGGGAAGGTAGGTGGGATGGTGATAGGTGGATGCAGGGGGTGGTGGGGATTGGTCAGTGGGAAGGGTGGGGTGGATAGGTGGGAGAATTTGGACAGGTGTCAGGTCAAGGAGGCGAGAGGGAGGACGGGTGGGACTTGGGGGGTAAGGTAGCTGGGATGGTGATAGGTGGATACAGGTAGGGGGTGGTGGGGATTGGTCAGTGGGAAGGGTGGGGTGGATAGGTGGGGAAGAAGATGGACAATTCCTACTACCCCCTATCTGCATCCACCCATCACCATCCCATTTACCTTCCCTCTTACCTTCCCTCTGGCCACACTCCTCCTCCCTCTATTTATTTCCCAGCTCCCTTCCCCCTCCCCAGTTCTGAAGATGGGTCCCAATCCGAAACGTCAACTTTCCTGCTCCTCTGACGCTGCCTGACCTGCTGTGTTCCTCAAGCTCTGCAGTTGTCTCTGCAGTTCTAGCTATCTCCAGGAAAAGTGTGGCCTCAGTTTAATGTTGTATTCAATTCACAGTGTCTGAAGGTGCAGCAGACCTTCAGTGTTCTGCTGGGACAGTCAACCTGGATTACTGGCTCAAGTCGCGAGAATGGGGTTCTAGGCCACAAGCTAATGACTGTAGAGAAGAGCTTTCCTCCTCTGAAGTACAGCTATGTTTCTTTCTGAATTACACTCACTCATGGACTGATGGTTCTTTAAAACTTAAAAATGTGCTTTTTCTTTTTATAGAGGAGAGTTGAAATGCGTTGAGAAATGAGTAGCAGATTCTTATTTTAACGAGTTGTAGTTTCCTCTGTTGAAAGAAAACTTGTCAGTGAAACATATCAGTTTCCTGGTGAAAACTTTGCAGAACTTCCCCTTTGCTTGCCAAGCACCACCTCCCCCCATGTTGATGCTAATATAGGGCAGAATTTATTGCTCTTAATTTCTGTTACTATATAATATTCAGTTTCTTCTGACCCACCCTAACTATATTTTGAGTCACCTTCTTCACTGTAAGTTCAGTGTCACCAGTTAAAATATTTAATGTGGTTACTGGGTTGGGGGAAGGGGCAGTCCTGCTCATTCCCCTTCACTCGTTTAACTTTTCAAATATTATAAAAGCTGGGTATTTTAATCTGACTCAAATCATGTCTTCTTCAAGTCAGATTGGTAACAAGCTTTCTTATACCACTCTCCAACAGACTGGCTCAAATATTAAGATTATGTCACTTTGAATCTTCCCTCCCCCAGTTCCCCACTCCCCCACTCCACTCCTAGAATATAGAACACAGAACAGTAAACCACAGGAACAGGCTCTTCAGCCCATCATGTCAGTGCATAACATGATGCCATTCTAAACTAATCCCATCTACCTGCACATGGCCCATATCCCTCTACTCTCTGCCTCTTCACGTGTCTATCTAAAGGCCTCTTATACGTTGCCATTGTAAGTGCTGTTACCACCTTCCCTGGCAGTGCATTCCAGGCACCACCCACACTCTGTTTAAAAAAAATACTTTCCTCGAACATCTCCTTTGAACCTTCACTTCTCACCTTAAACCTATACTCCCTAGTATTTAGCATTTCCTCCCTGGGGAAAAAAGACCCTGACTATCCACCATATCCATGCCTCTCATGATTTTATATACTTCAGTCAGGTCACCCCTCAGCCTCCAACACTCTAGCAAAAACAATCCAAGTTTGTCCAACCTCTCCTTGTAGCTAATACACTCCAATCCACACAACATCCTGTTAAATCTCTTTTGCGCCCTCTCCAAAGTCTCCACATCCTTCTTAGTGTGGAGACCAGGTGCACAGAGCTGCACACATTCTTGAGGAAATAGTTTCTCTCCAATTCAATTAATCACTTCAAATTGGTCCCCTTTAATCTTTTACCACTGAGGGAAGACAAGCCTATTCTGTGCAGCTTAGTGTTATTAATTAATACTTTCAGTCCTGGATCATTCTGGTGAATTTGCTCAGCTCCATCTCCAGGGATCTTATCACCTTCCTGAGGATACAGGGCCCAGATGTTGAACCTGATAGGGTCTGTCCAGACCTCTATATCAATGGGATTATCGCTTCCACCTGTTTGTAGTCTAGCCTGCTTGTGTTAAAGACCATAAGTTCAAAATTATACTTTTTGATCAGAATTGCAGTGTGCCAGGGTCCTGCTATCTAAGGAGGAAATTATTTAAAAAGTGGGCATCTACACCCCCAAAAAGATAGAAGACCAAGGGATGATTTGATTGAGGTTCTCAGGATTTTGCAAGAAATTTATAGAGTCAAGAAGTATTTTCCACTGGCTCTGGAATCAAGGGCAATGAAACAAAACCTTAAAATCAAGGGCCAGTTCGAAAACGTTTAGTCACGCGATGGGTAGTAAGACTGTGGACCTCTACCCCACAAAGAAAGCTCAATTAATAATTTTAAGTTGGAGATGGATGGATTTTTGCTGGACAAAGCAGTTGAGGAATAGGGTCAAGGCACACGGATGGAGTTGGGATAGATCTTGGCAAAGGTCACAATGAATAGGTAGCATTGTCATGAGGGTTGAATGGCCCCCTCCACTTCCTGTGTGTTGTTCATTAACTGGTCTAACATTACAAAGTGTGCCCTTTGAATGACCATGGCTTTGTTTGTCAACAGACAGTAAAAGCTGTTGAAAAATTTGGTGGCTGTACAGAAGATCTGCTGTTGAAGTATGGCAAGAGAATTGTAGGTGAGTACAGGGTTTAAATGTCAGGATTGAAATGAGGGGGAGGTGATGGCCTAGTGGTATTGTTGCTGGACTGTTAATCCAGAAACCTAGGTAATGTTCTGGGGACACAGCTTCAAATCAGCAGATGCTGGAATTTGAATTCAATGCAAAAAATATGGAATTAAGAGTCTACTCTTGACCATGAAAAACGAGCAGAGGCGATGGCCTAATGGTATTATTGTTAAACTATTAATCCAGAAACTCAGCTAATGTTCTAGGGAGCCTGGTTCAAATCCAGCCATGGCAGATAATGGAATTCCCCGTGCTGCGTGGGTTTCTGCCGGGTGCTCCAGTTTCCTCCCACAGTCCACAGATGTGCAAATTAGGTGAATTGGCCATGCTAAATTGCACATATTGTTCAGGGATGTGTAGATGAGGTGGGTTAGAGGGAAAAGGGGTAGGGGGGAATGGGTCTGAGTGGGATGCTCTTTGGAGGGTCGGTGCGGACTTGTTGGGCTGAAGGGCCGGTTTCCACGCTGTAGGGATTCTGTGATAAGTTGCATGGACATTGTGTTAAAAAGAAAGGTTGATGTTGTATCCTTCCATAAGGTTTCCATTTTATCTTTGCTGGTGGGTAGCATTCCATCAGTACTGACCATTCAAAAGTGCGCCGGCTCCCCCAGTACTGACCTTCTGACAGTGTGACGCTCCCTCCGCAATGACCCTCCAGTGATTTGATTTATTGTGGTCACGTGTACCTAAGTATAGTGAAAAGTTTTGTTTTGTGAGCAGTATAGGCAGATCACAGCAAACAATGACGTACAGATCATAGGGTGCTTAGGCAGAGCGAGGCATACAAGGTCCTGTCTGCACAGTAGGTGCATAACGCAAGATCAACGTTATTTGAAGTTGGAGAAGTCCATTCAGTGGTCTGATAACAGCAGGGAAGAAGCTGTTCTTGAACCTGTTGGTGCAGCATGTGTTCAAGCTTCTGTATCCCCTGCCTGACGGAAGAGGTTGTAGTAGAGCGTTACCGGGGTGGGAGAGGTCTTTGATGATGTTGGTAGCCTTTCTGCAGCAAAGAGATGTATAAATGGAGTCCATGGATGGAAGGTTGGCCTCCGTGATGGTCTGAGCTGTGCACACAACCTTCTGTAGTTTCTAGGCAGAGCAGTTAGCGTACCAGGCCATTATGCACCCCGGAGAGTTCATCTGTAAAGGTTGGTCCTTACGGACATGCCATGTTTCCTAAGCTGCTAGAGGAAGGAGAGGTGTTGTTGTGTCTTCTTGACCGTCACATTTACTTGGGAGGTTCAGGACAGATTGTTGGTTTTTGTCATTCCTGGGATCTTGATGCTGTGGACCCTCTGCACCTCAGCTCCATTGATCTAGTTAGGGGCCTGTTCTCCTCCTTTCTTTCTGACGTGCTCGCTCTGTCAGCACTGACCCTCCGACTGTACGGCGCTCCCTCGGCACTGACCCTCCGACTGTGTGGTGCTCCCTTGTGCTATCTGGGAGTGTCAGCTTGGATTATCTGCCCAAATCTTTAATGTGAGTCTTGAGCACCAACCTCGGACTCAACAGGAAGAATGCCAACGATTTACAAATGGTTGATAGCCATCTCTCTGCAGAGCATATTTGGTGGCCCTTCAGCTGTTCCTAACACTCTGTGGCTTTGTGTGTTTTTACAGACGAACAGTTCCTGCTGAAAAGGGTGGCAGACAGTGCCATTGACCTGTATGCCATGGTGGTTGTTCTGTCCCGGTAAGGACTTTGCAGAGAAGATGCACTTGATTCACATGTTCATGCTTTCGTTTCTGCAAACATTGTGCATGACATGAAATACAGGCACCATTTGCAACTATTGCTGAATTCTAGGGTGGTGAGAAGTAAATTTGGTGAGAAGTAAATTTGGTGTGAATCCTGTTCTTGAAATTTGCTTCGAAAAGCCTCATGATGAGCATCTGTTCATTCAGACAGGTGGAACATCTGGGCTTCTATGGCAACCTGGGCTTTCAAAATTCGCTCCATAATTAGCATTTCCTCATGGGTTACAACAACAATATTACATCTTTAATGTCATTATTGATCCAAGGCATTTCAAAGGTATATTATGAAACAGAACAATGTCATTATGTGGAGAATATTGGATTAACTGACAGAAGATTTGATCAAAGAGGTGGGTTTTAAGGAGCATCTCAAAAGGACAAAAGTGAGATGCAGAGATAGAGAGGTGTAAGGAGCTGTGAGAAATTCCAGAACATAGGGCCCCGAGCAACTGTAGGTATAGGCACCAGTGGGTGGAGCAATTCAGATCGAGGAAGCTCAAGAGACCAGTGAGATGGCCGCACAGACTTTAGAGAATTATTAGTCTGGAGAAGGTAACAGAGACAGGGAGAACAATGCAATGGAGGATTTTGGAAACAATGACAAGAAACAGAGCACAGGGGAACAGGACTTGGTGCAAGTCATGACATGGGCAGCAGACATTTGGATGACGTCAAGTCTACAAAAAGTCGACCTTAAGACATAGGAGCAGATGATGTTTCAGGCCAGCGAGTCTGCTCCACCATTCAATGAGATCATGGTTGATCTGATAACCCTCAACTCTGCTTTCTTGCTTTTTTTTCCCTCAGCGCCCTTACAGATTAAAAAATCTAAGGACTCAGCGATGGCGATCCACTTGTTTCACATTTTGTCATTTCCCTATTTGCAAATGTCGTACATGCCTGAAATATACTGAATGACCCAACCTCAACATCCCGCTGCGGTAAAGAATTCCACAGATTCACTACTCTCTCACAAAGAAATTCCTCCTTATCTCTGTTTTAAATATGTGACTCCTTAACCTGAGATTTTGTCTTCTGGTCCTAGACTCTTCCATGAGGGGAAATAACCTGTCCACATCCGCACTGTCAAGTACTGTAAGAATCTGAGATAACAAGGTGTAGAGCTGGATGAGCACAACAGGCCAAGCAGCATCAGAGGACCTTTTGGGTCCAGACCCAAAACGTCAGCCTTCCTGCTCCTCTGATGCTGCTTGGCCTGCTGTGTTCATCCAGCTCTACACCTTGTTATCTCAGATTCTCCAGCATCGGCAATTCCTACTATCACTGCAAGAATCTTGTATGTTTCAATAAGGTCCCCTCTCATTCTTCTAAACTCTGATGAGTACGAGCCCAACCTACTCAATCTCTTCTCATAAGACAGTCCCTCCATACCCCGGATCAGCCTAGTGAGCCCTTGCTGGATGCCTCCAATGCCATTTTATCTTTCCTTAGACAAGGGACCTAAATGGTTTCCAGTATTCCAGCTGAGTTCTGACTCATTCCTCATATTGTTTGAGGAAGACCTCCCTGTTTTAATACTCAATTCCTTTTAAAGTAAAGGCCAGCATTCCATTTGTATTCCCTATTACCTTCTGAACTTAAATATTAGCTTTTCTTTATATGCATTGTCTCCCAAATCCCTCTGTGCTGTAGATTTCTGCAGCCTTTCTGCATATATATATTAATATATAAATATATAAAATGGTGAGCTGCTGTATTCTTCCCACCAAAGTGCATAATCTCACTTTTCCCACATTATATTCCATGTGCCACGTTTTTGCCGCTCGCTTAACCTGTCTATATCCCTCTGCAGACATTGTGTCATTCTCACCACTTGCTTCCTACCCATTCTTGTGACTATCGCAAACTTGGTGATAGTACATTCCCATTCTTCACCCAGGTCATTTACATATGTTGTAAATAATAGAATATGGAAAAGCAAAAAGAGGTCTGTTGCAATGTGTACACCTAGAGGTAACAAATGCAAGAATATAGATTGCAAATGACAGGAATTAAGACAACATGCGTTGCTCAACAGTATTTGCTGTACCAGGGCAGGCCAGCAGTGAAGAAATGTTCTAGGTCAGACAGTAAACCAAAACCCCATTTGCTCCCTGTAGTTGATGGAAAAGAATGGCAGGACAGCTCATCCCAGTTGTCTCGATTTATGATTCAACCAATATTGTTTTACTTTTCTGGGATCACACTGTACGCGTATTGGTTGCCTTTTAGTTTTATTTACTCATGGGACATGGGCATTGCTGGTTGGCCCAGCATTTATTGCCCACCTCTCGCTGCCCTTGAGAGGGTGGTAGTGAGCTGTCTTCTTGAGCTCCTGCAGTCCAAGTGCTGTAGGTTTCCTGGTATTGCGACAATTCCTGTACTTCAAAACTGTTTCATTGGTCAAAAGTACTTTAGGATGTCTTGAGGTGGTGAAAGGGCTGGAGAAATGGATGTCTTTCTGTGTTCAGCTTCTCGATGCATTGTTTTGTGTTCTGCACCAGCTGTCAGATGAAACCTGATTGCCGTGTGAAGGCGCCACAACGGAAATAGACCCTTCTCTTCTTTCCTTTCCAACCACCACCTCTGAGCCAGATTGTCCACAGCACTCCCCCCCACACACCACCAGTTTACCCTGTGGTTTACAACTTACTGAGTGGAATTTTTTTTTTAAGAAGACAATGCAACTTCGATCTACTTCAAAGACCACTCTGTTTTTTCAAACTGCTTTCTCTACTTGTAGTTTCCATCAGTGGAATCTTGGCATTTTTTATATTTTAAACAGTAACCTTCAACATATGAACCCATTGTAATGTCCAAGACTGAGATAAAATGTGTGGGAGAATGATTCCAGGGATGAGGAGCTTCATTTCATGTGGAGAGACTGTAGAAGCTGGGATTGTTCTCCATAGAGCAAAGACAGTTAGGGGAAAGACTTAATCGAACTATTCAGAGTGTTGGGAGATTTTGATAACAGTAAATAAAAAGAATCTATTTCCACAGTCAGTGAATGTTGAATTGATTAGACTGAGAGGATCAAGAGCAGCGGGGCAGAGCTGTTTACATCAGAAGAGCAGGGCAAAGATGGGCTTAATTAGGAGAATTACCCACAGAACTTTCTGGTTAATAGGAAGGTTTAGTTAGAGAGTACCTGGTATATGGAACTGTTAGTTACTACACGAGACAAACTGGGGTTCTACATTTGAACATATGAATTGGGACCAGGAGTGGCCCATTTGGCCCTTTGAGTCTGCTCTGCTGTTCAATAAGATCAAGGATAATCTGGTTGTGGCCTCATCTTCTCATTCCTGCCTGGCCCTGATAACCTTCAACTCCCTTGTTCAACAAGAATCTATCTACCTTTGCCTTAAAAATAACTAAAAAATAAAACATAGTTCTACTGTAAGTAAATTGTTAAAAGTCCACAATGGGATTAAGGGTGCTGGGTTTGTGGAGAAAATGAGTACTTTCTTGTTCCTAATTTATATTCTAACATGTCAGTAGGCATTGAAATATTAAAACTGAGCAGAGTATTGGCAGTGTGAATGCTGTAGAACTATATCCTGTTGTGTGTTACCAGTGAAAAAATGGTTTTGCTTTTTGTCTGAGTGTTCAGTAGCAAGAAAAGTTGTTTGTAAGAAAAGACTCTCTGCATAAGTCGCAATCCATGTGTGGCCGGTTTGAGGTCAGCGTATAAGAACATAAGAACTAGGAGCAGGAGTGGGTGTCCGGCCCTTCAAGCCTGCTCCGCCATTTAATAAGATCATGGCTGATCTTTTCGTGGACTCAGATCCACTTACCCGCGTTCTCACGGTATCCCTTAATTCCTTTATTGTTCAAAAAAAATCTACTTTATCTTTAAAAACATTTACTGAAGTAGCGTCAACTACTTCACTGGGCAAGGAATTCCATAGATTAACAACCCTCTGGGTGAAGAAGTTCCTTCTCAATTCAGTCCTAAATCTGCTCCCTCTAATCTTGAGGCTATGCCCTCTTGTCCTAGCTTCACCTGCCAGTGGAAACATCCTCTCCACTTCTATCTTATCTATTCCCTTCATAATTTTATATGTTTCTATAAGATCCCCCCTCAATCTTCTGAATTCCAATGAATATAATCCCAATCTACTCAGTCTCTCCTCATAAGCCAACCCCCTCAACTCCGGAATCAACCTAGTGAACCTCCTTTGCACCCCCTCCAGTGCCAGTACATCCCAGTATATCTGGGATCTCCTCAGAGGCCCTCATTGGAAAACCTCTGCTTACTGTATGTAAGTAAGTCAGGGAGACCTTGTGTGTGCAGATCTGATCAGTCCGCCTCCAAAACGGGGACAACGAGACGGAAATGTCTGGAAACAGATTAGTGTTAACCCCCTCCTTAGCATTCTGAGCCACTAAATGGCTTGTTGAACCAAGTTTACCGCCCTGCAGGAAGGACATATCTGCTCAGGAATGGGTGCAATGCAGATTCACTAGAATGACAATAGGTTTCAATTAGGAGGGCAGGGTTACATAGATTTGAGGGGGAGGCAATGCCCTTGTGGTGGTATTACTGTTAATCCAGATAATGTTCATGAGACCTAGGTTCGAATCCCATCATGACAGATGGTGGAATTTGAATTCATCTTTTAAAAAATGCTGATTGTCGGAAAAACCCATCTGGTTCACTAACATCCTTTAGGGAAGGAAACTGCCATCCTTACCTGGTCTGGCCCACATGTGACTCCAGACCTACAGCAATGTGGTTGACTCTTAACTGTCCTCTGGACAATTAGGGATGGGCAATAAATGCTGCCTAGCCAGCAATGCCCTAATTCCATTAATGAATAAAAAAAGTGTAGAAAATTGAGGGGCAGACTAATCAAGGTGCTTAGGATGATTAAGGGGTTTTAAAGGTTTGGTGTAGTATTTCTTCCAGTGAGGGTGGCAGGATGTGCTAGTCATGAGAGTCTGGAACAAGGGGGCAAAAACTTGAAATTGAAACCAGGCCCACATCAGGAGACATTTCCTGTCGCAAAGGCGAGTGGAAATCTGGACTTTTCACCCCTAAAGAAAAGAAAAGCTGTTTAGACTGGGGCAGAAAATGTCCATGCTAAGATTGGTGTATTTTTGTTGGGTAAGGGGGTTAACAGTTGCAGAACTGTGGCGGTCAGATAAAGTTATTCTACAGATCCAATTGTATAGTGTACCTGGTTGAAGGGGCTGAATGGCTGCCTGCTGTCACTGTGAAGGGTCTCTATCTGAAATGTTAACTGTCTATTCCCTATTTAACTGTGTTTGTTTCTGTTTTGCTTGGTTTTGCAGTATCTTTGTCTAAACTGTTGTCTATTTGGTGACTCACAGGGCTTCCCGTTCTCTGAACCAAGGCCATGCAACTGCTCAACATGAGAAATTGCTCTGTGACACCTGGTGCATTGAGGTTGGTGCTATCATTTGTGTCCAGCCAGAACTACCTTTTGCAGATGGAGCTATCACCCCTACCTTTGTCACCTTCAAACTTGACCATTCTAGTGCTCCCCTGGCCAGCCTTCCTCCATTCAGTCAGATCATGGCTGACATGTATCTTAACATGAAAGCTGGTGGAATTTAAATTCAGTCAATGAATCTGGAATGGAAAACTGGTTTTAGTGATTGTAACCAGGACAACTATCACTGATTGTTCTGAAAACCCTGTGGTTCACTAATGTCAAGGAAGGAAATCTGCCATCAAAATCTGTTTCAATCTACGTGTGACTCCAGACCCAGAGCAATGTACTTTAGGTGGGTCAGTTTTTGTCCAATGTGTGCAGGAGGGTTTCCTGACACAGTATGTAGATAGGTCAACAAGAGGCGAGGCCACATTGGATTTGGTACTGGGTAATGAACCAGGCCAGGTGTTAGATTTGGAGGTGGGTGAGCACTTTGGTGATAGTGACCACAATTCGGTTACGTTTACTTTAGCGATGGAAAGGGATAGGTATATACCGCAGGGCAAGAGTTATAGCTGGAGGGATGGCAATTATGAGGCGATTAGGCAAGATTTAGGATGCATAGGATGGAGAAGGAAACTGCAGGGGCTGGGCACAATTGAAATGTGGAGCTTGTTCAAGGAACAGCTACTGCATGTCCTTGAGAAGTATGTACCTGTCAGGCAGGGAGGAAGTGGTCGAGCGAGGGAACCGTGGTTTACTAAAGTTGAATCTCTTGTCAAGAGGAAGAAGGAGGCTTATGTAGAGATGAGGCATGAAGGCTCAGTTAGGGCGCTTGAGAGTTACAAGTTAGCCAGGAAGGACCTAAAGAGAGAGCTAAGAAGAGCCAGGAGGGGACATGAGAAGTCTTTAGCAGGTAGGATCAAGGAAAACCCGAAAGCTTTCTATAGGTATGTCAGGAATAAAAGATTGACTGGAGTAAGATTGGGGCCGGTCAAGGACAGTAGTGGGAAGTTGTGCGTGGAGTCCGAAGAGATAGGAGAGGCGCTAAATGCATATTTTTCGTCCGTATTCACACAGGAAAAAGACAATGTTGTCGAGGAGAATACTGAGATACAGTCTATTAGACTAGACGGGATTGACGTTCATAAGGAGGAGGTGTTAGCAATTCTGGAAGGTGTGAAAATAGATAAGTCCCCGGGCCGGATGGGATTTATCCTAGGATTCTCTGGGAAGCTAGACAGGAGATTGCAGAGCCTTTGGCTTTGATCTTTGTCGTCATTGTCTACCGGAATAGTGCCAGAAGACTGGAGACTAGCAAATGTTGTCCCCTTGTTCAAGAAGGGGAGTCGACACAATCCTGGTAATTATAGACCAGTGAGCCTTACTTCGGTTGTGGGTAAAGTGTTGGAAAGGATTATAAGAGATAGGATTTATAATCATCTAGAAGGGAATAATTTGATTAGGGATAGTCAACACGGTTTTGTGAAGGGTAGGTCGTGCCTCACAAACCTTATTGAGTTCTTTGAGAAGGTGACCAAACAGGTGGATGAGGGTAAAGCGGTTGATGTGGTGTATTTGGATTTCAGTAAAGCATTTGATAAGGTTCCCCATGGTAGGCTATTGCAGAAAATACGGAGGCATGGGATTGAGGGTGATTTAGCGGTTTGGATCAGAAATTGGCTAGCTGTAAGAAGACAGAAGGTGGTGGTTGATGGGAAATGATCATCCTGGAGTTCAGTTACTAGTGGTGTACCTCAAGGATCTGTTTTGGGGCCACTGCTGTTTGTCATTTTTATAAATGACCTGGATGAGGGCATAGAAGGATGGGTTAGTAAATTTGCGGATGACGCCAAAGTTGGTGGAGTTGTGGATAGTGCGGAAGGATGTTGCAGGTTACAGAGGGACATAGATAAGCTGCAGAGCTGGGCTGAGAGGTGGAAAATGGAGTTTAATGCGGAAAAGTGTGAGGTGATTCACTTTGGAAGGAGTAACAGGAATACAGAGTACTGGGCTAATGGTAAGATTCTTGGTAGTGTGGATGAGCAGAAAGATCTCGGTGTCCATGTGCATAGATCACTGAAAGTTGCCACCCAGGTTGATAGGGTTGTTAAGAAGGCGTACAGTATGTTAGGTTTTATTGGTAGAGGGATTGAGTTTCGGAGCCATGAGGTCATGTTGCAGCTGTACAAAACTCTGGTGCAGCTGCACTTGGAGTATTGCGTACAGTTCTGGTCACCGCATTATAGGAAGGATGTGGAAGCATTGGAAAGGGTGTAGAGGAGATTTACCAGGATGTTGCCTGGTATGGAGGGAAGATCTTATGAGGAAAGGCTGAGGGACTTGGCTGTTTTCCTTAGAGAGAAGAAGGTTAAGAGGTGACTTAATAGAGACATACAAGATGATCAGAGGATTAGATAGGGTGGACAGTGAAAACCTTTTTCCTCAGATGGTGGTGGCTAGCACGAGGGGACATAGATTTAAAGTGAGGGGTGATAGATATAGGACAGATGTCAGAGGTAGGTTCTTTACTCCGAGAGTAGTAAGGGCGTGGAATGCCCTGCCTGCAAAAGTAGTGGACTCGCCAACTTTAAGGGCATTTAAATGGTCATTGGATAAACATATGGATGATAATGGAATAGTTTAGGTTAGATGGGCTTCAGATTGGTTTCAGAGGTCGGCGCAACATCGAGGGCCGAAGGGCCTGTACTGCGCTGCTATGTTCTACGTTCTATGTGGTTGACTCTTAACTGTCCTCTGAAATGGCTGAGCAAGCCACTCAGTTCAAGGGCAGTTAGGAATGGGCAAAGCCAGTGACAATGTCACTTCCTGAAAGAATAAAGGAAAAATACCATTAAAAATCTACCAATTCTCAGTTTCAGTTTTCCAGCTTTTTTGAATGGAGGTGGTTTCAGATTTCTACTTCCCTTTCCTTGAAGAAATGCTTCCTGACATCACCTCTGAATGGCCTGCCTCCAAGTTGAAGGTTCTGCCCCCTTGTTCTGGACTTTCCAACATCAGAAGTCATAGTTTCTCTCTATCAACCTGATCAAATCTGTTAATCATTTTAAACACATCATTTAGAACATCCCTTAATCTTTTACACCCAAGGGAATACAGACCTGACTAAGTGAAGCTGTTGTATTCTGTATGAAATGACTATGTACATATATTGTGTTAGTAAACAATGATTTGCATGGTTTTATTTCTAGGCATATGCTCGCATTATGGACAATCTGAATGCCCTCACTTCCAGCTCTGCCAGGCAGACCTTCAAGAACATGCGCGCCATCTCCGCAGCGGTGGTGAGCAATGGTGGCACCGTGACTCCTCATCCCTTGGGATTTTAAGAAAGGAAGCCACTCTGCCTTGCCAGATCAGAATGTAAATCCACAGCCAGATCTACTCTGAATCTAACACTTCAGTCTTTAAAAATTGGAAGGTTTAATTACTGAACCTGATCTCCCCTCCCCATTTCAGACTGGGAGTGCCGTGATTGGTGCTGTTGCAGTTTTGAATCCTGAAAAGGTTTTAAAAAGCAATGCCCTATATGAATCACATTTATCCTTGCACTTGTTAACCACCAGCATTATCACTAGGGCTTTATTTAATAACAGCCTGCTTTAGGGCAGACAGTAGCATTGTGGTAATGTAACTGGACTAGTAATCCAGAGGCCCAGACTAATGCCCTGGGGACTTTGGTTCAAATCCCACCAAGACAGCTGGGGAATTTAAATTCAATCAATAAATCTGGAATTGAACGTTGGTCACAGTGTGGTGACCATGATAACCACCATCAATGATCGTAAAACCCCATCAATGTCCTTTAGGGCAAATATCCAACGTTCTTACCTGGTCTGGCCTACGTGACTCCAGACCCAGAGAAATGTGGTTTACTCCTGACTGCTCTGAGATCAGGGATAAACAACTATTGCTTGGGTCAGTAACACTGACACCCCATTAAAAAATGAGGGAAAAAGTGGTACTGGGTACAGTACTGAAAGAAGTCTGGTTACGTTACCCTGACGATGTTTAATGGGGACAGTGTAGAGGAAGCTTTATTCTGTATCTAACCTCGTGCTGTCCCTG